AGCCTAACACAAGCCATGCCATCATGGAATGTAAATCAATACGGAGACTATGTATTCATGGACTTCTCCTGAGCATGCAACTCAAAGAAAACTGAAAACGACATCATACTTCACTGGGCTTGATTGTGTCTTGAATGTACTTTAATTACAAGTTCACAACCAATTGCATATTTGATTCTCCAAGTCGGGGACGTTAAATACCTCAAAAGCACTCGTATGGGTTTGGAAGACATAGGGTGTCTTTGTAGTAGATCCGCACTTGCGTGGCTTTACTACAACCCAATTTCATGGTGACCATGGTCTGCTGTGCCCAAAATTACTTGGTGACTGTGTTAGAAATACATTGATACTATGTTAGAAACTGTATTTCTATATATTTGGGCTTTAGGTCTACATGGAAGATTATTTCAGAATACTGCAAAGAACTCTCTCTTTATTGATTGATCAAGAATATACAAGACCCGGCCAGTAACAATTAGAGATAAATACTAATAGTTATGGATAACTGCTAACTAATATTATCATAATCGATGGGCACCTAAGCGATATATGTCATACATATACATATCTCATTATGTATTCGTATTAAAGTATATCAATAAAATTAAACATTTAAAGTATATCAATAAAATTAAACATACTCGAATACTCCCCCTGAAACTCATAATCTTTTACACAAAAGAGCTGGAGCCTAAAGTTTGAACAATAGGTTGCATAAACGAAGCATACTCTAATACTCCTCTTCAAACTCAAGATGCTTTTACACAAAGCAGTATAAAAACAGCTGGAGTCTGGAGTTTGAACAATAAGTTGCATAAACGAAGGAGTTGGATATTTAAGTCTTCACGTGCATGGTGTGACCAATAGAAGCAGTGGTCTCTTGCTTGAAGAACAAGCACATAATGGCATTTGGAAGAGACAACAGAATTCGATAAGGAACCAAGACAAATTCAGTAACTCGCAGCCCAGAACACAAGCTAGAACAAAGACAAATGTTGTTTTGTAGAGAGTCTTGCAGAGAGTCGAAGAAGGACTCGGCAGAGAGTTGAATAAGGACTCAGCAGAGAGTACAGATTGGCCGTTTTTAGAGGCCATTTTTAGAGGTGGATGAAGACTGTGGGCAGCAAACACCTCTGCAGCCACCCAAGAATTCACGTGCAGCTGCTTTGCTACTACCTGTTCCAATACATGTTCCACAGAGCTCTTTGTAGCCGACTAAAGACCACACGCCTTTTAAAGGAAAGCTTTTAAAGAAAAGTCAACTGCCTTCGGAAGAAGTTTTCCGATGTACATAGCTTTATCATGCATGCCTACCATATTCAATTGCCTTTGGAAGAAGTTTTCCGATGTACATAGTCTTATCATGCATGCCTACCACATGCAGGACGTGGATGTTCGAACTGATCACTTTGCCTTTCACAAGACCTTGTGTGTTTTGAGCCATCTAAGTTAGCCCAATTCTCAATATGGTATCGGCGGTTCTCAACCCTAAGCATATAGCTTTCTAGCGTACGAGCGTCCTCGCCATGTTTCACGCATTGCATACATTTAGAACAACAAATTTACTATCCCACACCCAGTGAGGATAGAAATCCATTGTTGTCTATCGATTCACATATTGCAAGAGGGAGGAATTATAAGAATGTGGTGATGGACTCTATAAGAATTCTGGGAGAAAATTTCCTGAAAAATCTTGCATGTTCCACGTGTCTTTCGGCCCCGACACATTGACTGCAGCCAAAGTTCATTGAAGGGATACCTATTAGTCATGTTCCTAATGCAAAAATTCTCTAAAAGACCATGACCATGACCATGACCTTGAGGGGGAGTATCACTGGGTAGTAATTTCCCTGAAAACCTCCGACATTATAGCCATCTTGAAGTCCCTTGGTAGAAATTTCAATACAGGACAGGACAAAGCACCCTAAAAACCTCTAGTATTATAGCCACTTTGAAGCGTATTGCATTCGATCTATTTCCAATGAGAAAGCCTGCAAGAACAACATGATTTTTTGGGAGGGGAAAACTATTGTTTATCCCTGGGTGAGAATGTGAGGCACTACACCCTGAGAGCTCTTCATGTTATGGGCATATCAGAGTGATGCATAATTAATTGCAGTCCAGGTTCACCTACAGATGCCGTTCTACTATTCATGCTAGAATTCTCCACTTCACATTTTGCAGTGCAAAGGAAGGGTTTTTGTTAGCTGTAGCAAAGAAAGAGACTTCATAGGAGCCGAGATATAAATAAATGGATATGGACTATATACTGATTTTTATGGATAAAAGATCTAATTGATAGATGGAGCACCATAAAGATCAATTTATTATACTACCATAATATTAACAATATTATTATAAAAATAATAGCAGAATATATAAATAATAAACATCATAAGTACTATTATTGTATATTATAAATGCTACTAGTAATAACAATAATAATAATAATGATAATAGTTTTATTACGTTATACTTTGCATTATTATGGATGTACCAAATAGTTTTTGTTATTACATGTATGTCCATTTTTTACTTTTTATAACGTAAATTTTTAAAAAATACTATTTTACCTTTTTTCGGATGTTGAATAATTGAATTGGAGGTTTTTCGGATGTTCAACATCCGAAAATAAGCTGAAAGTTTAACATTCACATTCTCATTTTCTGGTGTTGAACATCCGAATAGAAGGGTTTTTCGGATGTTGAACATCCGAAAAGGGTTTCGGAAGTTGGACATTCAAAAATATGACTTTGAATTTTCAGAAAGTCTATGGAATTTCGCAGTCATTTTCGGATGATGAACATCCGAAAATATGATATTTTCGGATGTCCAATATCCGAAACCATTTTCACAAGGAATACAATGTATCAACATAACCCTTCAATTCGAATGTTAAACTTTCGGCCTATTTTCGGATGTTGAACATCCGAAAAACCCTCCCATTCGGTTGTTCAACATCCAAAAATAAATAAAATCGTCTTTTTAAAAAAATTACATTATAAAAGGTAAAAAACGAACATATATGTAATAACGGAAACTATTTGATAAATTCATACTAACGCAAAATATAACGGATATTTATATTATTTTTTCTTATTACTACTATTATTATTGCTATTATTAATACTATTATTGGGCGGTTTGAACTCCTGCTTTTTGAAGATCGGCCCCTGTGTAGAGCTGGCTTATGGGAGGTCTCTATTCCACCTATTTGGTGGAGTACGCATCTCTACCTTTTGGCCTCAAAACATAGAGATTGATATCCATACAAAGATATATATTCTATATACAAAGGCATCCAATAGTCAACTAAAAAAAATGCCCAATGCCAAGGAAATGAGTCTCCCTAAGACCCATTCTGATATCTAAATGGGCCATCGGTATTCATTCAATTACTCCTTTTTCTCTCTCTTGTTTGCAATGCTCAAACTGTCCAAACCCTTTTTTTCTCTTTAAAAGCATTCCCTTTGTTAGAAATTTCACATTTTAGGATCGGTTGTTATGGAGGCTCGACATATATCATCCAAGAACATAGTTTCTGTGAGTGACTTATATGTAAAAATGAGTCCTCTTTTAAATATTTTATATTTGAGATGGATTTTCGACAAAATTTTTAAGGAGTATGTAATCTCTAATACAGAAACCGTAAATATATGTAAAAAATTTGAACATTAAAAATAATAATTATATATAAAATATTTAGAATGGTAATTTTAACTTTATTTAGATTTTAGAGGGACCGTCTTTTGCATCCATCTTTAAGATGGGTGTTGTATGCCCTCGGGGACTACAAACGTGTCCCTAAAACAATTTGCCATTTCGAAATGGGTTAGTTCCCTAGCAAATATTTATATATAGGTAATTAGCTCTTTTTTTTTTTTGAATGTTCACCTAATTAGCATTTAAATTGTGCCATGTTTCTCTCTAAGCTCGTACTTATACAAATACATCAATACATGTGTCCGTACAGATACGAATATAAATTTCAAAAATAATTTAGTCCTTCATGCACCATACTCACCAGAGGGTAGAGTCCTTCATGCACCATACTCATTAGAGTCCTTCATGCACCATACTCACCATACTCCTTCATGCACCATGCTCACCATAAATTAGTCCTCATGCACCATACGAATATTAAATTAGCCCTTCATGCACCATACATGTGCTCTAAGCATACCGTTTATCATCCTATATCGTATTCATCAAAATACTATAAACCATACTCACAAGAGGGTCGAGGTCCTTGGTGAGGTCTCTTGCTCCATTTTCACCACAGGATAGAGGCTCGTGGTAAAGTCTTTGACTCCATTTTTACCAAGGGGTAGACGCACAAATCTCCATTGACTTATCACTTTTTTTCGAAATGGGGTTGAGGTCGTGGTGGTAACATTACTTGAACTTCAGTTACCGGTCTAAGTCCTCCGCTACCGGTCTAGGTTTCCATTCCTTTTTCGTTTCCACCATTACCGGTCTAGGTTTCCATTCCCTTTCTGTTTCTACTGATGTATTAAAAAATGGCTAATTGTTTTTAAAGGACAAGGACATCATACAAACAATGTTTTAGGACACTAACTTCCAAAATGCTATTGTATTTTTGTGAAAATTTCAAATTTGTTCCTGCTTAATGGTAAGGTTACCTATTTAAATAATTTTTAAATAAAAAATACTGATTGTTTTAACAAATGCACAATCACAATCTCTTATAACTTGAACTTTTGTATTTCGAGGGGTTGTTAACTCTAGACAAACCCCATATATATATAAAAAAAAATGTTTATACAATCGATCTAATTAGTTAATAATTGTTTGGTTGATATTTGATAATAATCATATATTTTAAAATGAATTTCTATTTTTTATTTTAAAAATATCAAATTATATGTCAGAATTTGGGCATCCAAATGTACAGCAAATATTAGCCACATTTGCCCAACCCTCACTATAAAACTCAACAACCACTATTCCTTCACATCATTTTTTAATTTAAAGGCAAAGCAGAGAGAGGAATAAAAAAAGGAAACCAATAAGAAAAAGAAGAAGAGTGGAAAAAACCATCATCAAAACAACATGATTCTCCAATTGAGCGCTTCTTCATCTCCTTCACTCACCCTTCTCCTTCACACTCCTCATCTCTCAGCAACCCCACTTTTCTCTCTCTACAAACTCTCCCTCAAAAACCCCATCTCTCTAAACCCCAAGAAAACCCTAATTTCCCCCATTGTTGCAGCAGGACCCATGAATTGGCTCTCCAAATTGGGGTTTGGAAACAGAGCTGGTTTGGGTTCCATGGAGACCTCATCTAACAGTGTGGCTCAAGGCCCTGATGATGATATACCAGCTCCAGGCCAACAGTTTGCTCAGTTTGGAGCTGGGTGTTTTTGGGGTGTTGAGCTTGTCTTTCAGAGAGTCCCTGGCGTTACAAAGACTGAGGTTGGTTATACCCAGGGTTTTCTCCATAATCCAACTTACAATGATGTGTGTTCTGGAACCACAAATCACTCGGAGGTCGTTAGGGTTCAATTTGATCCAAAGGATTGTAACTATGATGCCTTGCTCGATGCTTTCTGGAGTCACCATGACCCTACTACTCCGAATCGGCAGGTATAGGTGAACCTGTGGTTGAATTTAGAATTCAGTATAAAAGCTGTTCCTGCTATTGATTTTCAGTAGTTATTTTTTGTGATTTTGTTTTGTCTTTTGATGAATTGGTTGGGTTTTGCAATTTGATGTTAGGGCTATCCTTGTTGTAGTTGCCGTAGTTGTCTTTGCAGTAGTTGTTTTTACGAATTGGGTAGCAGTGTTATGTCATATTTTTGCTTACTTGGTGTTGTTCTTATTGCCATGTTATTTCTATGAATTGGGTTTTGGAATTAGATGTTGGAGATATCCTTCTTCTTGATGTAATGGTTTGTATTATTATGATTTAGGGCATGCAGCAGGGCTATATTGCTTGTTTTTGTTGCTTTTTTTTTTGAAAAAAATGTTTTGGTTGCAGTTATTATTATTATTAGTTTATTGTATGAATTGTGGTTTTCCTTTTGTCAGAGAGTATTGGTCATTGGCATGATGAATCTTGTTACTTATTTTTTCATTTTATTTTTATTGTCGAACTGCTTTTCTTTTGATAAGTAGAGCTGGCATTTGTGGGTGTTTTGAATTTTTACTATGTTATTGTTTGTGCTGATGATCTAAAAAAAAAGGGTCACTACTTTTTGTATGATTGGGCTGGATATTTCACAACTGCAAGTTTCGTTCAATTAAATTGTCTGGTTTTTGTGTCGTTTTCTTTTCCATCATTGTGTTTCTTTCTGTACTTTACCTAGCTTGTGTTTTCTTTTGGCGGTTACTGCACCTGGGCTAGACTATCACTTCTGGATTTTTTAGGATGTTCTTCTTGGATATTTCATGTTATCATAAGAAAGTTAACACAAAAGGGTACCTTTTCTATAAACACAACAGGTGGATGGGTAGAGAATTGCTATTGGAACAACAATATAACCTCTCTAGGGAACCTTGCAAGGTAGCCTTGTAAGTTTGACTTTAGGGAGAAATGGTGCCTTGTCGCAAAGGGGGGTCACAATGACCATGCCCAAAGTGTATATACATTGGTTCCTGATGCAGGAAAGAAATGTGGGAAATTGAATCCACCTTTTTCGGAGCTTTAAACAAGTAAAATTAGCAATAATGGAGAAAGAACATGGCTGTAAATCAAGCCAAAAGAAGAAAAACTTTCTTCTTTCATAAAATAAAATTCATTCTCATAACATATGCCTCCTACAATATGAAATTCAAGTTTTTATAAGCTTACAAGACTCTAATTTAACTTGAGATCTAAGTAAACATATAAGACTCTAAAATACCCCTAAAAAAATACTAAATTTTCAAAAAATACCCATGTGAACAGTGACACGTGAACAGTAAATGTGATCAGTACCATGAATAGTAAATATAAGAAAACCCAAAAAAAAACTTGAAATCTTCAAACTAAAATCCAGATGTGCATCCTTTAAAATAGAATAGAAATAAAAAATAAGTATAATTTTGCCCTCCATCATTATCCCTTAGTTGGAGAATACTCGTTCTCGAGTTTTGAAATGTGCTAAGATGAATTCAGCATCAAAAATGCATTCTTCAATCTTTCTTTTCTTTGTTGGCATGAATAATCTTCTCTGGTTGGAGAACACTCGTCTTTGAGTTTTGAGTGCTAAGATGAATTCAGCTTCAAAACTGCATTCTTCAACCTTCTTTTTCTTTGTCGGATCAAATATTATTCGTGGTAAAAATAATTCCTCAAGAAACGGATCCAGATATGTATATTGAGGAATCGAAACCTGACTCTGATACCAATTTGATGCAGGAAAATTTGAGGAAGTGGTAAAATTAACAAGAAACAAAGCCAAACACAAGCATAATTCAAAGCTCCATATCTCAAATTTAATCTTCTGGCCTTTAGAGGATTTCTTTTTATCTATTTCATTACTCTCTGAAATTGGGGCCACAATTTGCAAATTTGAGTCGACCACACTTCCACTGCGCTACTTTGATTCCAATGCCCTAAATCTACTAAATGTTCCACCTCTTTGATATCCTTAAGATCTTCATCTTTTTCTTCATCAAAGATCTGTTCGCTCACAAAATCTTGATCATCATCATGGATTGGATCTCTTACAAGATTTTGTTCATCATCTAAATATGTCTAAAAAATTGGTGGTAGATCCTAATCTACATCCTACTGATTTTCGATACGACCTACACCAAAATCAACCCCGTTCTCCTTCAAATCATATAGATCTACTAAATCATATGATTTTTTCTCCTGAACATGAGGCTCCCAACAGAGCGCGTGCATGGAATGGGTTGTCGAAGGCAGGTTTATCATTTCGCTCCAACTCTGAGTTGGACTCTGATTCGTGCCATTCTCCATAACAACCCTCACGATTTGGATCTATCACTGTAGATTCCTCTTCGTTTAGGGCATGTTGTTGCTGACCTCACTTGGACAGCAATAGCTCTGTAACCCTCTCCGTCAAGTTATTGATTTCCTTGCACAGTTGGATCAGAGCAGCATCCCTACGACTAAGACCTCCACGACCAGCCATCTCAATCTTTGAGCCGCCTTATAACCATGCTCTGATACCACTTGATGCAAGAAGGAAATGTGAGAAGTTAAATCTACCTTTTTCCTGAACCTCAACAAGTAAACTCAGCAATAATAAGTAAAATCAACAATAATGGAGCAAGCACATGGCTGTAAATCAAGTCAAGAGAAGAAGAACTTTCATCTTTCGTAAAATAAAACTCATTCCCATAACATATGCCTCCCAAAATATGACATTTTGTAAGCTTAAAAAACCTTAATTTAACTTGAGATCCAAGTAAAAATTTAAGACTCTAATATTCCGCTAAAACAATACTAAAATTTTCAAAAATACCCATATGAACAATAACATGTGAACAATACAATGAATAGTACTCGTGAGTAATAAATAAAAAAAATACAAGAAAATGCTAGAATCCCAAAAAAAACTTAAAATCCTCAAAATAAATCCTAAAACTAAAATCAAAATATACATCTTTTAGAATAGAATAGAAATTAAAAATAAGTATAGTTTTTCCCTCCATTTGTTCTCATCAAAGCTTAATTCACAATGATGACTAGTTAGTAGGGAGGGGTCTTCTTGGCTGAGACCACATGGCATTGCTGTCAATGACCACTTAGAATAAGGTTCTGGAAATACATCCATAAATTTGTCCAATACCATGCTGACTACAACCAAATACAGTCACATCTTGTCATGATGGTAGAGAGGAACTCCTCTTCCACGATATGGCATGTATTAAAGAGGTTGATGCTAATTCGCACCATCACGGTCTGGCTATTGCCTTGGGCACATATGGGTCATCCTAAAACAACGGCACCTTGGCTTGGAAAATGATCTTGAGCCATATAGCTCTAAATCCGTTTGGACCGGATTTAACATTATGGTGTAGTGAGGGCTCAAGACTTCGCAATCAGGTGAATAGCAGTGGGGCTGAGTGCCTTTAGTACAGTTCCTTCATTCCCCATGCAAAGTCTTATTTGATAATTTCCCAGCGCAACCAGCAGCATGGGTGAGGCTATACACCTTCTCTTTCAGTTTTTCCATGTTTACAGATATTCGCATATTAGGATTATCAGTCTTGAATAAGAAAAGTATGTTTGAGATTCTGAAAGGGTAATGGGAGAAGGATTAAAATAAGGTGCTCACTGAAATAATTGGCACCATCTCTGTTGTCATCCTCTTCTCTCTGTCATGATGGCCTCCACTTGAATGTTTCTTATGTTTTTTTTGCCTTCTTATTGTATCATCTGTACAAAAAACTTGGAATTTCTCTCTTCCCCTTTGAGCTATTCATTTGGGGATTTTATTGACAAAGGACTTTATCCACCTTGATTTTACATGCTCTTCCCTTCTCACCAAATGCACCATAAGTCTGACCCTTACCTGAGGGAAGTGTGTGTGAAGGCTTCTCTATTTACTCGATTGGCATATCAAAAGATGACCTGAAGTAAACTGGAAGATTTTTCCTACAGGTCTTCACTGAGATTGGTCCTACCTCCATAGAAAAAGAACTTACCTTTTCTAGGGGCCAACTGCCTCTCAGAGTGCCTCTATCTGGTGTGGGACCCTGTTAGGGTTGTGCACCCTTTCAGTTTATCGCAAATCTTTAGAACTCTATGGAGGTGGAAAGAAGGTAGGATGTCTGGAGAGTTACTTTCTGTTGTTCTTATCCGATCATTCAAATGACAGTTCCTTAAGGTTAATGATGTTCAAACAGGCTAGTTGATAAAGAAAAGAAAATGGTATTTGGTTAGTCTAAACTGTGGACGTGTTAAAATCTGATTGGAATCTCTAGGAGGGATTTCAATGCCTACTAGGTAATTTCAATTATTCTCATTTGAATTCTGATACTCAGCTGAGGAACCTTTTCAATTTGGCGGTGCTGTGGCTTCCAAATCTCATGCTTCCACGACAATTCCTAAGCAATTCCTACAAGAAATCAACTCTCTGCCAGTCTGCCCCAAGTGTTCCTTAAGCATTCCTGCTGGCTAGGTCTGGCCAACTTGAACATGAGAGACTCTAGATTGCCCTTCTGGACTCGATGAATCCTTGTCTCCTCTTTCATACTTTCAATTTCTCTTTCTTACCCCTCTTCTAATTATCCGTGGTTCTCTCTTATCCAGGAAATTTTTACCTATTAGGAATAAAAGAGAGGATGCAAGCCCTATGAGGCTTGGAGCAGGACTGGAAGCCTGGAAATTTCCAGCTCTGGAAGAACCTTAGCACCAGCGAAATCTTATACAGTAGTGTAGATCTATACTACTACACATATGCTTGTTTAGGATTTTCTCTACTTTGATTAATGGATATCTGAAATTGCGAAAGGTGACTTTGTGAGATCTCAGGGGCTTTGGTGACCACAGGCAGTTTGAGAGGGAGGGAGGGGGTTCTTTTCATTGTTTTCAACTTTAATTCTGATTTTTGGGATCTCTAGAATGTTATTCAAGAGTTCTTGGAGGGAGGGAGTGAGGTAGTGGATCCTTCTCAATTTCTGTTAGTGGAACTATATTTTTATTTTGGGAGGTCCTGGATCCTGTAGTGATGACATACACTTTTAACCTTATTGATTGTGATCTTAAAGAGAAATATTTATGTAGCTCTTTCCTTTCTGTCCTGGGGATTGTTTGTATTTGCCTTATCTGAATTAGAGACTAGAGACTTGTGACAAAAAATTTGACAAGATTTGATGCATAAAGAATAATGTTAGGCAAATTGACTTGATTCCTTCCCTTTTTTGGTTTTGAAGCCGGCCATCACTGTTGCACCCCCATTATATGCTAAATCTTCCATTTGGTGGTGTGTAAGTTTTTATAAGTGCCATATGGGAAATGGTATTTACAGAATTTGCTTAATCCATTCTTATTTGCAACTTGATATATCGCGCTATTTATGTGGTTCATTTGCTTCGTCAGGGTAATAAATAAGTTTGCTTTAGAAGGGTATTGTCAAGAAAAAATAAATAGCTTTGGCATGTCACATTTGAAACTATAAGGAATATAACAGATTGAAAGTGGATAGAGTTCAACAATTTCTTACTGTTTGTGTGATATGATAAGTCTCTTCTTTAAACCCTTTTGTTTGATTGTTAAAGCTTTCTTCTTGGAACTCAATGTATGAGTTGCCAGCCTAGGCCAAGAATGCCAGAAGTTTCTTTCCTTTTTCCTCTTTCCAATCACTTAGGGCATGTTTGTTTACAGATGAAGGGGCTGCCACAGGTTAAAAGACGTCGTTTGTGCACGCTTTATGGAAGCTGCAGGTTCTGTCGTGCGGCTTCCACGAACGTGCTACAAACGTGGGAGTCCGTTTGGTAGAACTTGGGTCTCCCTACCCAAAAGTTCCACCTAAACAAGCACACCCTTAGATTGGGCAGGATGCTTCAGTTTGTAACAATGCCGATTTTGCTTCTCATTTATTTTTTACCTTTGATTGATTTTTGTTATTTGCTTTTATAGAAAATATCTAGGTGCATTGCTGAAGCAACCAGCAATAAGTGCATTGTTGAAGCAACTAATGATAGATTCGTCTGGGATGAACTAAATTGTATTTTCATGTTTAGAAAGTATCCAAGTGCATTTATAATGCAACTAATGTTAGATTCTTCTGAGATTGAACATAACTGTATTTTCATGATGTAGCTGCGAGTTGCCATGAAAGAGTTTGTGCTTTAGGAAATCTGTGCATTTTTGTGAAGTTTGACCAAGCTCACTGGAGATTTCTCGTATGTGTTTCAGGGCATGAAATTCTGAAAAATATTTTAGTATTAGAGCTTTGATTTTTGAAGCTTGAATTTGCATACCGTCTTCTCACAAATGGGTTTCCATGCTAATCCCATACAAATCAACTAGTTCATGACTTCATTTTAAAACAACAAAAATAGCTGATGATGGCTATAAATAAAAAATAGCAGTATCAATTATGAATCATATTATGCATTTCTCTAACTTTTGTTAAAATGAATCCACCTCTAGAAAAGCTCGCCAATTATAAACTTGTGTTCTTTATCTTGTACGGTTTTCTTTTATCTTGCAGGGAAACGACGTGGGAAGTCAGTATAGGTCAGGTATATACTATTACACACCTGAGCAAGAGAAGGCTGCTCGAGAATCTCTTGAGAAGAGGCAGCAGGTGTTAAATAGAAAGATTGTGACTGAGATTTTACCTGCAAAGAAGTTTTATGAGGCAGAGGAGTATCATCAACAATATCTGGAGAAAGGTGGGCGCTTCGGTTTCAAGCAGTCGGCTGACAAAGGTTGCAACGACCCCATCAGATGCTATGGCTGAGATCTGAGATTTGATAGAGAATATCTTGCTACTGGTTCCGCTATCATAATGGCTAGCTGTTTGTATACTCACATGACTTGAGTTATGTAAATTGCTAATTCGTAAGCTGTGTCCCTACCTATACTTTTAGAAAGAAGAGATGTAAATTACTGATTCGAGGTGTTTGCATGCCCATAAAGTTCCCCTCATCCCCCCACCCCCACCATGGGAGCACACCAAACATGTGCTTCTTCTAGCAAAATATCTGTTTTGGAGTATTTTCTTCTTTTTAAATTTTGGGATCAGCATTATTTTAATAAAAAGCATAAGTATCTGAATCCCTAAACACTTGTATTTTATCTAAGAAGACAATGTCTATTCATTTTTTAGTTGGTTACCGGGTTGAGGAGGTTACATCTCCAAAACTTGGAGCGTCCTAAGCATACTCCTAAATACTCCTAAATAGTATTTTACTTGAGGGAATAAATGTACGATATCTCATGAGAGCATATTATTGATTTGGGCTAGTGATTCTTGTATCATAAAAATACCCTTGGATTGTAATACAAAATTTTTGAAGTAAGAATATTTTTATCACTTGGGAGGGTAGAATGAATGTTTTTATAAGAAAATAATTGCATTTTATTAGTAATTAAAAAACAATTAATTTTATTAGTAATTAAAAAATAATTAAGGCATGGTAATGTCACACATCATGTCGGTGATGTCATTGTCCACTATTGTTAATAAATAATTTTGTTTTTATTAAAAAATTTTATTTTACTCTTGATTAATTACGTAAAATATAATCGGATAAGGTTATTTGTAAGTGTTAAAAATAGTGTAGGATTTTAAGAAAATACACTACCAATATAGTCGTGGGAGGCGAAGCGACACAGGGGATAGGG